ATATATATATATATATAAATTGAGCAGCTCGATAATACTAAGTCTATTTGGTCAGGCTCATTTTACTTCAATAAAAGAGCTGCTCATTTATCCTCCTATGAACCATTAACCAAACACAAACCAAGCTCAAATCAAATTTTGACCATCAGAATAACAAACTTGTGCATATTACTGCGTGTTTAATACAAGTCTAGTATTTTAGCAATTCAATATTACATTTTGTTCTAGCTTACTAGTGTTTGATTATATGATCTTTGACACACGCCCAATATAAAATGTCCCATACAATTTAATTGATTTTATAAGTTGTTCAAACTCATTAAACTATGTGACTGATCTGTGTGACCAATTTTCAAAATCATGGATATATAAATGACACCATAAAAATAGTTTATTTTTTTAATTTGTTTTACTTTCAATCAAAATGTTGAACCCAATTTTGTTCTTGAATTACACCCAAAGAATATAATTTAAAAGGAAGGGGAGAGAGAGAGACAGGGAGCTTCAAAAAGTCATTTATGTCCCATATTTCAATAATAAAAAAAAGCTTCTCTTTCATTTAATATTCCATTTGTTTATAAGGATAGAATTATTGTGAAATGATACCCATACCCCTAATATTTTTCTATTAGGTCTTCTTTAGATCAACCAATTTTTTGTAGGTCTACTTCCAATTGATTCAGATTTGACAATTTGCCTTATCTGTCACCCTCTAATCGACCGATCTCTGAGTCAGTTGACCTCAGGAAGGTCGGTCTTTAATCTATTAGCCTCTGACTGATGTCGGAACTATTTTGGTTGAGTTGCTCATAAGAAGCTATCGGTTACCAGAATCGAAATCCTGCGCCAGCTTCGGAATGACATTTTTAATTTTTAGAAAAATATGAAATCAAACTGAGCTCATATTTTTCATAGTTTAAATGAAAGAGCGGTATACCTCAAACCCTGTATCTATCCCGAAGGATAAACACAAGACTTGAGGATGATGCTCGATCAAATAAACTGAGAAATATATGATGTTCGTTTGGCCTGTGAAACTGTTTTATTTGCCGACAATTTCTCCTATTTAATATAAAGAATTAAATAGGGTTTATATTAAGTTGGGTTCAGAAAAGCTTCCTATAAGGGCAAGCCCTTATAGTTAATTATATCCTAAATGATCGAAGTCACTTAAGAAAACTTTCAATGAAAATCAGGAAATGTTATCTTCGAGGATTTCAAAAGGATATGACTTTTCAATGATATCGGAAAAAGAGGTGTGAAATGGGACTGGCTCAAATTTGGAGCATTTTGTTTTTAGAATCCAAAGGGGGAAGAACTAGGGGATGTCATGGATCCAGAGGAGAACCTCAGTGACTTCCCAGTCTATCCTATGGTTTGGCTTCAGTTTTGTGAAGAAGTTATTTAAGTATTTCATCCTGCAGATTTTATTTGTTAGGACTTACATTTGTGTGAAACGATCACACAAATAGCATGGAAGATGTGAGGATTTAGGTCTTGACGAACGACAACCTCGAAATCTTAAGACGAGTTAAGGCTTATACTGTACAACAGAGCTATACAAATGCCTAAAGATGAGGTGAGGATTTATGTTGCATAAACAGACAACCTCGAAATCCTATGGCTTGGTTGTTTAATTTTAAGGAAGGAAATGGTTTAGTTGGGGAAGACAGTTTTTGTTGTTGAAGATGGTCGTGCTGCCCACCATGCTAGCTCCAAGCTCCTTACCGTGACGAGTTTAAGTTTCTAGGGTGTCCATTTATGATGTCAAATCAGGTGGCCCTATGGTTGTAGTTCTTTAAATATTATGGGGCATATTAAAGTTGATTAGAGCAACACCAGTTAGGATCTTACGGTTCCCTTGTTCCAGCAGCACTATTTTCTATTGGATTCACTTAGTCCAAATGAATTTACTAAACTCAACTTAATGAGTT